GTATTTAGATGTACAACACAGAGTGACTAGATCCACTGAGCTGCACAATATCCAAATACACTTTACAATGGCCTCAATGTGCATATAAATCCTTAGAAAAGTCAAAAACACTGTGTCAGCGAAACTTTATGTACACAACTGTACACAAGAGTATGATCATTCTTTCACTAGGCTCCTACGCGCTGTTTATTTTTACATTAAGACACAGGTTAAAACACTGGAATAAGGCCATTGTAAAGCAATTCAATGCCAAAAACCACATTTCCGGGTCAACAGCCACAATACCCCATCATTTTTACACCGGCAGAGCCAAATCCCAGATAATAAATATGTATCTAGAAGAAACACATTCCCCGGTCTAATTTAGTTAACTATAAAAAAGGATGTGGAAAATAAAATATGAAACCCACAAACTCGCTCCTGTGTTTGTGTCCTCATTATGAGGTGAGCCATCTGCTGCCGCCGACTTCTTTAAATACCTACACCGTGATTGACGCCTGGTAGAGCTCTGATGCTCTGGAGCACAATAAACAAGAGGCTTAAAGGGATGGTTCAACAGCAAAACATATCGACTATGGAAAATGCACCTTTTAGAAGGATTTTTCTTTATTGCTGTGTGTCTGTTTGTCCATATGACACATGGTAATGTGTAATAACAATATGTATAGATATTTAAACAGTATCAGATTAGATATTTTTGTAATGTGCCTCCCAAGGTGAAAAGACAGCTACAGCATATTGAAGAAAAAGTGGCTGTTTTTTTGGCTTTTCTGAACTGATTTATCCACTTCCCTGCAGCTTTATCAACAATACAGGATTTAGTCGAGCTGATAAGATCTATCACCAAACACCTTAGCAGCATTTTGTGTGAACCGCCTCTTTATGCATGTCATTATCTGCAGAAAACTACTCATGTAGGTATGCAAAGAATCTTGAGTTCAGCACAGGAAGGATAATCCTGATTTCAATGGAGAGAATGTGAAGCCGGCGCATTCAACAGCAGGCAAATATATTTATATACAAACACATATAAGGAATACTGTACCAATTATCTCACCAACCTGGGGATGAGAATGAGGGCTGCTTGGGATTTCGGCTCAGGGTTTAGCTCTCTGTCTCGGAAACAAAAGGACATTCTCTCGTCTGGAGAGAGCTGCTCAAATCCCGAATGATTCGAGAAGCAGATTTCGCACTTCTCTCTTTGTAGTGTTGTTGAAATGTGTTGATTGTGTGTGTTGTGTGTACCTGTGTGAGTGCACATGCATGTGAACGCATGAATTATGTATGTTTGTCCACAACTGGAGGCAAGTGTATTCTTGTGTATGCACATTAGAATCTCAGTGAATCTTATTCCATGTAGCTTTGGCGGTTGTTTTTCCACTCATGCCTCGTAGCAAAACCTGCCGGTTCCTTTGCAGCACCACACACACACACACACACACACACATACATACATACACACACTCACTCGCTGAAAGCCATGGATCTTCTCTGTGAGAATGTATTCTCACGCAGAGTAAAGTATTGGATGCTGAGCAAACAGCCTGGTAAAGACAAAAGGCCTCGCCTGTAGAGATGAGAACTTAATTCCCATCTATTTTTCATGGAGAATCTTGTGCAAACAGCAGAGCCGACTGCTGTCGAGGGTTGGAGAGATGTCCGTCACACCCACCAGGAGTTGTGCAGCAAATCAGACGGGCAAAGTTTTGAGTGCATTTTAAATAATTGGAGCAGGAGAATCCAGGGGACATTATTTGGTGAATTTACAGTGCTGAGCTGAGCATATCAAATGGTAAAACTCTTCTCTGTGAGTAGGAAGCTTTTAGTTTGCAAACATGTCTTTTATAGAAGACTTTAATACCCATGCTGTCATTAGCAAACTCTCTTAAAGCTGCTACACAGAGCATTAAAACATCAGTGAATCATTATCATATTAAATTTCAGACCAACATGTTACTACACTGCACACTGATACAGGGCACTGTCCTTCCAGAGGAAACTAGAGCTAAAGCTTTAAGAGTTTCTGGTAAGGGAGGATGTAAACAGGATTCTAACATGGTTGTCATTTTCATGTCAAAGTTTTGTGTGCTTTAGGGATCCAATTATTTTTCTATTTCATGGACTATTAATTTACACTTCTATCCCCGCAGCTTCTGATTATATTAACTGCAATGTCAGTATTTGTCACCTAGAAAAAGTACCACTAAATGACTGACATTTGATTCCACATCCCCTCCAGGTTCACAAACCTGCACTTCTTCTTTTATTTCTGCAGGCAAAAAAAAACTAAGAAGCCTCAACAAAGCCTGAGCTAACCCCCCCCCCACCCAAGTTATTTCTTCACCTTTCACCTTTTAAATAGGGATTTCATGCCTAGAGTTGGGTTAGGGAGTAATTTAGGACATAAAGTAATTACTTAATGAAAGCCATATCTTATTCCACAAGGTAACTTTGTAAAGAGAAAGGTTAAATGCCAAAATAAAGAAGAAAGTTTCTTTACATCTCAAAGGTAGTGCTCATCGATCAGCTGGAAGTCTATTTGTCTATCTGTCAGCTTTTCATTTTATTTGCCATTTTGCTGAAGGACTCCTCACCGTGCCTGACTCATCTGAAACTAACAAAGAGCAAAGTGGAGTTTCTCAGTGGAAGCTCTCCAAGCTGATCGTAACTCCTCATTTCCTGCTGGGTCACCGGAGTAGCCGTGGTTAGCACACTAGGCCTCTTCACTGAGGAATGCTGTGATTGAATTCAGGTTCCTCGCACTCTGGCCAAAACTAGCGTCCGTATAGATCATGAAAGTCACACGAGAGCTTTTTCAGCGAGCTGTGTTTAAATGGCAACCTTAACAACCACACTGAGAAAAACAAAGCAGGGCCTAATTTTAATGGTATCCACAAACCCAAATTTTACAGAAGTATAGAAAGATATTGATTTTAAAAACCGAGTTGGAAAAACATCAGAGTCAAAGTTGTATTACCCAGTATGGGCCAAAACACACTGAAGCTGTCAAAACTTAAATTATATAGTCATACTGACAAGCATTCCCTCTGTGTTAAGCTTTAACTCTATTTAACATATTACATAATGGGATAAGAGCATGTAAATACAGTGAACTATATAGTAGACCAAAAATCAAAATTCAGAACACCAATATCACTAGGCAGCTGACAAAAGGGTCAGTCCTCACTGACTGAAAGGAGTGTATAGTATGGTATAGTTGTCCAGGTTAGCTAATTAGCTTGTATGCTGACCTTTCAAACCCCTACTCTGCCATTATGGTATGGCACACAGCCCATCTACTGACTTGTGGTTGTGGCACCATAACAGCAGGCTTTGGTTCTCCGCCGCAGTACTGAGCAGGTTTAGCCCTGTTTCACGTTCAGCGCTGCCAAAAAAAACCTTTGAAAGTTGGCAGACGCTAAATGTGTTTGTGTGCAGCATAAGTACATAACTGTGCTCATCAATCTTTTGGTTTGTTCTTTTTTTTTTGAAAACAGACACAAAACTATATCTTAGATGCATGTTCAGGTTTTCTGTATAAGGTGAAAACTATAAGGTCAGCACTGCTAATTTAAGACACATAATGAATATCAGTCGATCATTTGTATTCCTAGAGAGGTGTACTTGGTTTAAAAGGAGTGTATAAAACAGTTAATGATGATAATGGTATTAAGAAGGATCATCTCTCTTTGCTAATGAGGTAATGTCTGAGATTATGTGTTAATTGCTGAATAAGTTAAATGAGTTTAATAGAGTGAGAGAGGATGTCAGAGCAAACATAATGACATGAAGAGCTCTTGTCTTACAGACAGTGAGGCGTTAACAGTAAAACAAATGCAACTTTACAAATGCTGTAAAGTTAACAGATGTATAGGAGCAAAAGAGCAGTTGATTATTTAAGCAAATTAAATTTCAAAATTCAGATTGGGGATAAGTGATTTAAAATCTTTAACCTGAGTTACACAGAAATCTGTCATTAGACTGCCTCTTGAACACTCCTCCTAAATAAATAAGTTGACCACATGTGCGCTTTAATTACAGAGTTAAAAGAATGTGCCACAGTCAACCAGTTTGTCTAGCAGATGGTAAAACATGTTTTATCATTTTGGTTTTTTTGGCATCATTGCTTTTCCCTTTGAAACAGACACATGTGGGAAAAAGCTCATTAAAAGGATAAATTAAATTAAAAGAAAATACTTTAAAAGAAAAGTAAATTAATTTGGCGCAAAGCTGCACATCAAATTTACAACATAGTGGAATTCAGAATTTAGCCTGCTGATTAAAACAGTGAGTGAAAACGATGATACCTGCATTTCCACAACAGGGCCACACTGAGGTTTACCAAACCAGCAATGAGCTTACAATCTTTATCATAATGCTGAAAGCAGATAAGCCGTGAATGATTTCTAGCCCTGTCTGGCACCATTGTGGAATTCATTTTTCAAGTAAATTAGGAAAATAGTCTGTTCATGGGCTTGTCTGGTCCTGATATGGGAAGACCTTGGAAGCCCTGTTTGGTTCTATGCTAAAACACCTTGTTTGGCCTCCAGGATGCCAAAATGTTTTGAAAATAACAGTCCTCATGGAAACAACCCTAAAATATAGGTTACAGAGAGGAAACGTTTGGCCCTATGGGAATTTCTAGTATTTCCATTTGGCACCAATGTAGAAACCCCAGTTATCTTAGTTTAGGGACATCATCAGCTAGCCCAGTTTATAGCTCCACATGGTGCCAATGTGGAAAGGAAAGTCCTAACAGCATATCACTGGGTTTGAAATCTGTGGCTTGCCCTGTGGGGTACCAACAGGAAACACCATGATTAGCCTTGTTCGCCCTTTTATTAAAAGCCTGTATTTGGTCACGTGTACATGTGTGGTAACATCCCGTATTGGCCTTGTTGGCCCCGTTGGCCCTTGAGTGGAAAGCAGGCTAGTGGAGGTACTTACCTTGGCCCCGCGCTGGCTGAGGGAAAAGACAGACGAGTACGAAGCCCAGCAGGGAGGCTCAGGTTGACTGAGAACTGCATCCTGGTAGCAGCAGACAGGAGGACACAACACACCTGATGTAGAGGGAGGAAAGGGAGGAAACACAGAAAAGACAGAGGGAGCAGGAAAAGAGAGGTGAGCAAGGAGTAAAAAAGGAAAAGGAATGGAAGATGAGACAAGGAAAGCCAGAGAGGAAGGAGGTGAAGGGAGGAGATGAGCAGAAGAGGTGACAAAAAGGGAATGTGTGATGGGAGCATGGAGGAGTGAGGAGGACAGAGAGAGGTTAGAGTAGCAAGGGGATTGAAGAGGTAGAGGGAGACAAGGGCAGGAGGAGGAGTGAGATGAAGGGATTTCAACAGTGTAAAAAAGGACTTAAACTCCATATGGCACTTTATAATGTCATCCTAAATTACGTTGCAATATTAAGGCCCTTTTGTTTGAGTCGACTGTTCAAGGTCATGCAGTTACAGACAAACCTTACATTTGTTATATTCTTACATTGCTGTAAATATAAAAAAAAAGCAGGTGCTTTCATTAAGTACGCAGGGATGGATTTGTAAAAACGTTTCAAAATTGGTGAATGGAGAGATGAATAGACATTTATCTCTAGAGGGAAAGCCAACCAAGCTGCTGTATAGACTGACAAGTTAACTTACATCACAGAGTTTTTGAATACCCAGGCCCTCACATTAAATCTCTTTCAAACTGATTTCAGATTGGTTTACGCTTTGAAATTAACCTTGGATTAAACTACAAAAAATAATGTTTTGTTACTTATTTGAGCCCCCCTCCTTTGTATGTATAAAGTATGTTATTATAATGACACTTCATTTATTGTCATACTTGGATGTTAACAAAGTATGTGTGGATCATAATAAAGCATTTAAGCATAAGTACTGACTGTAAGAACATCAGTAAATGAGTAAAAGCAGTATTATCACGGTCACATACACAGGCTGCATCCAACAATAAATAAATAATGTGCATTACTCCCTGCAGAAGCTGATGTAGTAGGGAGTAGCACAGCTGTGGATGTAAATGCTCTGTTATTACTTGTCAAAGAAACAATACATACGACATTGAAAAACTGAAGATGTGTTTTATTAACTGGAGGGAATTGCATTATCATTAGCAACACCTGCATCAGACTCTGTACCGTAAGCATTGGATAACACCCCTCTTTATTTCTAAATACTGCTACAGTCAACTTTTATTTTCAGGCAATTTTCAATAATTTATTGATATTACTGACTATTTCGACTTGGCATTTTCTCAAAGTCAATGTTGAGGCAAGCTATGCTTATGGTAATAAAAACAGAGTTAGGATTATAGGTCTGTTGAGAGCAGGCCTTCCTCAGTAAAAAATCACTACAATATCCATTAAATATTCCCTCAGGGACTTACAGCCTGGCATAGTGAGTTTATGGTGACATTAAAACACCTGGCTATTTTATTTCCAATTCTTACAATAAACCTGTAGAGTGTCAGTTCCTATATAGTTGTTAAGCTGTTGCATGCTTCTAACTTTCATTATGGTATCACTTAATATGCTTCAGGGTTATTTCTTTGCATCTACCGAATCAGTCACTCTCACTCTGAAGGTAGTGTACAGCATCGATTGGTGCACACTCCAATAACGCACAGCCACCCGATGCTGAGAGAAAATATACAACCACTTTAAGTTGAACGTAAATAAAAGCAGCTGAAGTTTTCCTTAATTGAAACGGGCACAGGTGAGATCTGCACGGTGCGCCATCAGCAGCACATACGCGTGCAGCTGGATGAGGTGGAGATCTAAAGGTCCGCGGACCTGAAAGCTCGTTTTGCAGATGTGTGCAGTGTGTTAATAAAGAGCAGCTGTACCTTCTCAGATCATATGTTTCCAGGCTCCGCAGTTCTCCTCCAGACAGCTGTATGAGGCGCTCACTATTACTCCCCAAAACGACTCTGATCCACTCTCACAAACTCCCCGCTGCCAGTCGACCTGGAGACAAGTTACACAGAATGATATACACTACCGGTCAAAAGTTTCAAAATAAAATCCCTGCGGACTATACATTTTAGAAGAGTACAGTGATGGTCAAACACCAAATGTTCTTGTCTTCGCTATTTCAACCACAATTTTTTGCTTTTGCTGTCACACAGATTGTCAGCCGTTTTTAGAACTAGTGTTATCATTATTACCATTACTATTATACCCATTTGAAATGTGTTAAAACTACAAAACACCACTTTTACCAATGCAGCGCCATCTTCCCATAAGAAATATAAGATTATTGGTGATACTCCACCTGTAAGGTTTAACGTTAAGCTACTGACATTAATTCAGTTATATAGTCTCTTCTGTCATTTGGCAACTTCACAAACATGACTATCAACTAATCCAACATGTTATCTTAAACGTACAACAAACGTTTATTGTTTTCTTGCCTGGGAAAGAAACGTTTCTTGCTTGCTGGGAGGGAAGTTGAGGGTAAAGTCAGGTGGGCTAATGTTTGTAACTTCTAGTTAGCTCGCTTAGTTTTTAACGGTTTTTAAAACGTTAGCAGACTGTCAGCAAAAATGTATCTTTCAGACTTGTATTATACTTAATAAAATTAATATTTATTATTACTAAACCCGTTTGATATATGGAATAACTATAAAACTTCAATTTACCCAATGCTGGAGCCATTTTCCATAAGTTATAACGATTATTGGTCACATTCCGCCTCTAAGGTTCAAGTTAAGCCGCTAAATTAATAACATTCTCTTCAGGAGGCAACTTCACAAATATGAAAATCCTAATCCAACATATAAATATAACGTTACAAGAAACGTTTCTTGTTTTCTTGGTTGGGAAAGAAAATATTTTGCTTGCTGGGGGAAAGTTAGGGCTAACGTTAGGTTAGCCAAGCTAGCTAACGTTTTGCTGCTAGCTTAAACGAACCGTCTGACAGTTAGCTGGCTAGCTTTTATGTTGCTAGCCTTTTAGCCATCTAAGTAAACTATGTAAAAAAATAAATAAATAAATAAATAAAACGCCTTCTGACCTCCAAACATCGTCACATCTTTAAGGTTGTAAAAGGAAAAAGCTGCTCACAGCCAAAATCCCTATTTTCCGACGTTTAACTGCTGTTTAACTCCAAACTGACAGTTTATTTTAGACACGCCCACTTCGAATTACGCGTTTAGCCCCTCCCACTGCAGTTTCCCTCAACCAATCACATCCTTCCTGCCTTATAACACTTCGCGTTTATCAATTTACTTTAATTTAAAGGGGCTTTATTGGCATAAATTCTCTTAATTTGAAGGCAATATTCCCTTACTTCCTGTCTCTCTGTGGCTGCTCTGGCGAGCTTAACTGAGCAGTTTCTGTAGGTCTCTTCTCAGTTGAGACTTGCAGCGGACTGATGGGTGTTTCCTGCTTCAGTCACCATCCCTGCAGCTATTCATTCCTTTTACCTAGATTAATGCGAGGCGAGGCAGCAGAAAAATGTTTTAGGCAGCCTAAGCGGGTGTGGAGTGTATTTTTCTGACCCTGCTTTATGCTGTAGCCTATTGTATAGCTCCTCAGGGGCTCCTTTTGATATGTCCTCTCTTGGTCTGGAGAGGTGGCCTGGTGTAAAAACTAAAAGTCAGTATTATGCAAGAAGAATGGAAACAATCATGAAAAACAACATGTTTTTAGACTGATTAGTTTCCCTCATGTGTGGGTTACAAAAATGTTTTGATCTGTTCATTTCAACATGCGAATGTGACCGAATAAAACCAGAATAAGCCTGTTCATCTTCAAGCAAAAATATATAAATGTCTATGTGTAGCAACATAGTAATGTCCACACAGAGCTGCAGCTCTGGATGTGCAGGTGTCCTTATCTTTGAGATAGCACATGACCTTGAATGAATAATGGGCTTCTGTCTGCTGAAGGTTGAGACACTCCGTTTCTGTGTAACTCAGTTATTATGGGTTTGTTTGCTGACCATGTAGCCTTTGACAAACAGACTTGGAGGTCTCTGAAGTCTCTTGCATTATCATAATCATGAATATTTAACAGTTAAATTCTATCTGTTCTCTTCAGACTTTGAGTTCAGACAAATCTGCAGCTTGAATAAACAGTTTGTCATCATGAGTTTTCTTCAAGTTCATATCGAATGTGATTGTATATTTTGTTTCAGTGCATGCTAGTTAAACTCAGAGTGACAAAACTAAAAGGTGGTTAATTTAATTGACATTAAAATAAATACAGTAGCATGAAACTATGCAGATTCAGTGTCAGAAAAACGATGAATAAAGAACATTCTGAACCTAATTTTTACTAAAATGAGCTCTGGTGAAAATACTATGACAAAAAGCAGTGAAACGTATCACTGTTTTTATAAAGGTTTTTAAATCAGATTTACAAGGTTTTCCATGGTGAAAAGGACGATTTTAAAAGCACTGTTAAAACAACAACAAAAATCACCATATCACTAATCACTAAACAAATGAAAACCTTGCTGTTTCTGGCATGAAAGCAAATCACATATTATGGGCAGTTGCTGAACTTATGACTCACCTCAAATTCTCTACTCTCAAAATGGCTAAACAAGTTTGCATTTAGGAAAACTGAAAAGGAAAATTAACAGCACATTTGGAAATACTGATTCATAGTCATACTGATAGTGGACATAGTGTTTTGCAATCAAACCCTTTGTTTGTGAATGTAAACAAAGTGTCTTCTCCCGCGTTAATAAACCAGAGAGCTGAGGCTTTATTATGTGACTGGAAGACTACAAATTAACTGACTAAATTGGAAGATTCAAATGAACTCAGCTCCTGTTTCTGTTGAAAATATGACCCTTTTCACCAGCAGATTATCTCAGGTAGGCCTACACTCAAAACAAATGCCTTGATTGTGACTGAATAGAAAATAATGATGGCGTGAGATATCTGCATGGAGCAGTATGAAAAACCTGAATAAAATGCAAGGATGGTGACCATCTTTCTCTCATTCTAAGAACTGAATATCTCAAACTTTATCCTAAATCCTAAAATACATTTTCACCTAGCTTTGTAGCCTTTAAGTGTTCTGACATGAACCGTTTTTAAAAAGTGACATGTATTGGGTTATATAAGACATCTAAAAGAGTGTTTTTCTTATTTCTTTAGTACTGAAGGTAGGATGGGGCATCCTGCCAAAAGGAGATACCGCTCCACTGAATTCAGTTAAATTCACAACACTTCATAAAGTCAGACAGATCCTTCCAATGTTAAGGTGACCATAAATGTCTATTCTCTCTTTCTTTCACTGCATTTTGTAGGTTTTATGTTGCTGTCACAGTGTGCAGCCTCTGCTGGAAGGAGTTTAGGTAGATATTTACGCATAGGTACAGTAGGTGTTTTGGTTTTACCAGTAGGAGACAGTACAAGAAGTGATTAGTGGTCTCCTTAGCTTCACAAACTCTGGCAACAAGAGTCAAGAACTCTGCCGATTTTCCATTACCTACCTTCTATATAGGAGGAACTATGTGTCAGGAACTATATCTCTATATAAAACATGTTTTTCTTAAAACAAAAAGTGAACAAGATACTGTATACAATTCAACATGTTAACAGTCTGTCTCCGTTTGCGACTCCTTGGGTAATGTTTCAACAATTTGTTGATCTGAAACATGATTCTTAGTGATCTTATGTTTGTTATGTCTCGGTGCACATCGATGAGTTGAATCTTCCATGGTTTTGCACACAGAATTATCAAAATGTAACTATTTTCTGTCTTACTCAGAGTCAGATGAGATGATAAATATCCATTAATCTCTGTGTGTCCGGTAAAGAGAGAGTTTCATGATACGCTGGCAAATAGTTTAGCACATAGACCGAATATAAGGATAAAACTGTTCACCCATCTCTGTCAAAACTCTTAAAAGTACACACAAAGCTGTCAGTTGTTATTTATTCAGGCAAAAATACAGACATATGATTACATGATTTTGGTTTCATAACAACAGTTTTTCACCATCAGTGTTTTTGCTCCCAAACTAACTTTGATATTATTTGGTGCTGTTCTTTTTAACATTGTGTTTTGGCTTTACCCTTAGGGCATATTGAATGACAGCCATGTCTAAAAGGAATATTACTTACATCTAAACATCAGACTCGATGTTGTATGTGATCAAGGAAGCAGAGAGTTTGGGCGGGTCAAAGGTTAACTGCATGCTTCATATTTAGTCAGATTCCTAAACTGGAGGCTGTCCAGTGCGACCACAGTCT